TAGCTTATTTTATTTCACGAACTTTACAATATTGGATTATGAACGATCTTTTTACTGTACTCAACATTACGCTTACATTTATATACACAACGAAGCTTCGATAATTTGAATCCAACATTCTCTAATGTTTGACAATGATCGTGATTTTATCCAAAGCTATACAAAAATCCGACCACTACGCAGTAAAGTATTGTGTGTGAGAGAAGCGAGAGAAATAAGCTAACGGTGAAAGACGGACAAATTGACCTCCGGTAGGGTCCTTAGTTGTTACCGTGACGGTAACGATGGCATCTGGTCCATTCTTAAATAATTGGGGCCCACTTTGCCCGAACCAAAACGTAGGACCCACACGAGCAGAACCCAGCTGGTCTTCTTCATATCATATTCTGCTTCTCAATCCCTGAAATTTTCCTTGTCAAGATCTGACTTTATTTTGCCTTTAAGTGAAAGACAGGAGGGCCGGTGGAGGGCTATTGGCTGTTGCTCATTGCTTTCAAGTTTCTTGCAATACTTTCTTTGGTTGGTGGGGAAATAGTGAGAGGAGAAAGAGGAGGGCCGGTCTCTTCCCATTTGAGATCTGCCACTTTGCTTACAGGGTAATGCTTTTGACTTGCTCTTTAATTTGGACCCAATTGTAGATTTTGTTTTATGAATTCACTATGTGATGTGATGCTGTTTGAATGCTGTTTTTTTCGTTGTATTTCTTGGATTGTTGGCGTTTGGGTTGCTATTTTTGGATAAAAGAAGCAATTTTTAATATCTCGGTGTTGTTTAATTTTGATTTGGAAGATAACCCAGTTGCTAGTTGGACTTGATAATTGTTGTGAATTTTCCTTTTTGGAAAAAAATAGGCAATTTTGGCATCTGGGTTTTCTTCGTTTTTTTATTTCGAAGTTACCCAGTTGCTTGTTGAACTGGATAATTTTTATAAATTTTCATCTTTGATTGCTTAAATTTTACTGACATTTCGCAGAAAACTTCTATTCTGCCATGGAAAGTCATTGTCTAGCTTAATTAATTGATTTTCTTCCCTTTTTTGCTCCCCTTGGATTTATTCGATAATCGATTTGATCATTAAAATTGCTGATTTTGTTATGGATGTGCCTCCTTGTACAATTTCTGATAATATGTACTAGATGCAGTCATAATTTTTATGCCATTGAAATTTGGAAGTTAACTTTGATTTGTTTCTCACAGGGATTAGTTCGAGGAATGTTAAGGAGATGGGGAAGAAAGGTTGGTTTTCTTCAGTAAAGAAAGCTCTGAGCCCTGATTCTAAGAAGAAAGAGCAGGTTTGAAGATGTTCGAATTCAGCTAACGTTGTGTTTAGTTGTATAGTTGTATATTCCGATACGAGTCTTTGATGTTTTTTGTCACTTCTTTTTTCCAGAGATCAGATCAATCAAAAAAGAAATGGTTTGGGAAACAAAAGTACCCAGAGTTTGAGTCTACTTCTTATCAACCGTCCATTATATTGCCACCTCTTCCACCACGAGAAGAGGTGAAATTAACCAATGTGGAGAATGAGCACAACAATGATGCTTACTCTGTTCCAGTCACCACCACAGTCACCCCTACCGCAGTGGCTGAGGCTGCAGTTTCTGTGGCTCCTCCAACTCAAGCTGTTGTGGAGGTTGTCAGACTCCCTACAACTACTCAGTATGCTGGAAAATCAAGGGAGGAAGTGGCAGCAATCAAGATTCAAACGGCATTTCGAGGATACCTGGTATGATTTTAGAAATTTATATTTTGGCCTTTGACATCCTTGATGGCAGTGTTCATAAGTTTATAAATGGATGCTAAAATATAACCTTTTATTTTTGGAATTAACCTGAGTTGTTTTCCAAACTTTCCAGGCAAGAAGGGCGTTGAGGGCGTTAAGAGGGCTTGTTAGGCTGAAATCATTGATAGAGGGATCTGTTGTGAAACGGCAAGCCACAAATACCCTCCGATGCATGCAGACTCTATCTCGTGTGCAGTCTCAGATACGTTCCAGGAGGATTAGGATGTTAGAAGAGAATCAGGCTCTGCAAAGGCAACTCCTACTAAAACATGCAAAAGAGCTTGAGACATTGCGGGTCTGTTTTATCACTCTTAGTTTGTTATAATCCTTTAGATTGCAAAGTCTAAGTTCTCCTTTGGATTTAACATTTCATTTTCGTAGTAATTAAACATATGAACTGTTTGGGAGACAAGTTATACTGGCTAGGTTTTCATTTGAACCTAATTTCTAAACGCTTCTTTGTGAATAAACTAAAAAGTACGGGTTTAAAGTTTTTTCTCATGCTGGTGTGAGAAATGCAAGTTAGAATTATTGCATTGTTGACTCAGCCAAGTCAAATGGGACAATTACAAAGGTTGAAATCAAAGCAAAGATTCCCAAACAGATATATATTTGGAGTTTTATTGAGATAACTTTTCATCCAGATGAACCTCAGCGGTTAACTCATTTTGAAAATTGATACAGCTTGGGGATGAATGGGATGATAGCATACAGTCAAAGGAGCAAGTTGAAGCAAACCTATTAAGCAAACACGAGGCAGCAATGAGAAGGGAAAGAGCACTCGCTTATGCATTCTCTCATCAGGTATTCTAATCTATTATATTACATAACATAAATGAATTGAAAGGATTAGGAATAGTTTATGCAGTCTCCTCTCCTGTGCCAAATTATGATGTAATGATGAAAGCCATGGGAACATTCAACTAGTTACCACTATGCTATTTGATTAGTTATAGTGAGTTTTGTTAGCCTGTAGGTTTTATTTTCCAAGCCTGAAACCAAATATTTTAGTATGCAACAAACCCTTGTTTACAATTCAGCAATATTCTCCAGCCTTGATTCCTTTGGGATTCTTTCTTCATTTCATTACTATTAACTAGGTTGAGATCACATCATTTCCATACTTGGAGTGAGAAAGGTGTAATCTTGGTCATTATTGGTCTTGTCGAATGATATGGTACATGCATGATCAGGTGACGTAAAGAGCTCACAATTGCAATTAAATCAGCTAAGTTAAGATTTATAGAGTCGAAGGTTAGGAAAATCATTTTGAAGAAAAAATAACTTGGTTTCCTTTAGTATAGTTTGCTTATCTGTGCTCTTAGTTGATTGGTCATTTCCTTGTGCATGTCATTGTGTGTGCGTGTGTGTCTGTGTCTATGTTTACGAATTACATATGGTGAATATAAACTGCTTGGTCCGTGGTTACCATTTATGAAACCAAAAGAATTTCAGCCGCTTATTTAATTTTAAGTTTTCGTGAATCTTGAATTCACCTCATTCTGGGTCTAACCCCTGTATCACTCCACAGAAAAATGGGAAGAATACTACAAAATCTGTAAACCCAATGTTCATGGATCCAAGCAATCCCACATGGGGTTGGAGCTGGTTGGAAAGGTGGATGGCTGCCCGGCCTTGGGAGAGTCGTGGCATGACAGATAAAGACATGCAGGATGACCATGCATCTGTAAAGAGTGCAAGTCGCGGCATTTCTGCTGGAGAAATTAACAAGTCCTATGCTCGCTACCTCCTCAATTCCGACAAGCAATCCCCAACAGCCAGTGAAAAGCCAAGCCATCCTGGATTTCGGTCCCCTTCAAGTCCTTCTAGGCCAGCTTCGAAAGTAGCTCGAAAATTAAAGCCAGCAGCAAGCCCAAGGGGTAGTAGGGTCCCAGATTCTGACACGAAAAGCATGGTCAGTGTGCAATCAACTCAGTTAAGGAGGCACAGCATTGCTGGCTCCTCTGTGAGGGATGACGAAAGCCTAGATAGTTCTCCAGCAGTTCCAAGTTACATGGTACCAACAAAATCCGCAAGAGCTAAGTCCAGGCTGCAGAGCCCAGCAGAGAAGAATGGGATCACCGAGAAGGACTTGATGCCTGAGTCAGCTAAGAAACGGCTGTCATTCCCAGCCTCCCCCGCGCGACCAAGGCGGCATTCTGGTCCACCAAGGGTTGACAGCAGTATAATTACAGCAAACAAAGTGAGTGATATTGGAGTCGAAAGCTAATTATTTCCAGCACAGAAAGAAGAGTGGAAGAAAAGCTGTTTCATGGACCCAAAGGGAAAGAAATAAAGGTTTATTCCATCCGTGAATTGTTTGATTTCTTTAATTAATTGTTCCTCGAAAGTCGGTGGTGTGGGGTAAAATTAATCCCAGGAGTTTGCTTATGCTGCAAGCTATGGGCATTTGTTGTTATTTTTTCATATTTGTTTACTTGTATCTGATATAATTACATCTCTTATCTGGGTCCTTGCCATTGTCAGAACCCAATTCCTAGAAGACCAAGACTGTTCTGTTGAATTTCTTGTTTCCTCGGGTTGGTGATTATAAAATATATGTATATGTATTTAATTTATGGATTATTGTTTCATTATTTGGTGTAGACAGTTCCCTTTTGTATTATTTTCAATTGCCTAAATTGAATACTGAAAATCCTCTTGGTTATTACTTCTAGTTTTCAAAAACAAAAAATTGAAAACTACTCTAAACTGAAAATGAAATAGTTATCGAACAACATTATAGCTAATGCGATGCCACCGTAGAATTCGCCCTGCGGTACCAATTCAAGACACTTTAAGCAATATTCTGCAGATTTGGAAAGGAACCATCCCAAATCCAAGCATTCAATATCTTCCACAATCTGTTCCTCAGCTAGTTAACAACCATTCTTTTAAGGATGGCTCCTACACAAGACACACCCCTCAACCTAAATGGAGATGCAATACCAAGTCAGGTACAATGAACTCGGCATAATGACGTAGTTTAACTTTACATTTGGCGAGAATCGAATCTAAAATATTTCACTTACAAATAAGTGAAAAAAAATATCACTAGACCGTAATACTAAGTCACTATTTTCGTTTTTATTTTTCTGAATCATTTTGTATGGGGTAACACAGAGATTGCAAAATAAAAAATTTATAAGTTGGATTTCAAAATAAAATAAAAAACAAGTGTGTTTCCTTTGGCTTCTTCTACAAGTAGTCGGTTGTGGTTGTCGGCGGTCTTCTCGTTTGCAATTACGTTTATTTAACCACCAAACATTATTTTTGTTGCAAGAAATCAATTCCTAAACGAAAACACCATAAACCCTAGTTTGGCTGAGGCAGACGGAACTGTTTCTCCGACCTCCAAAGAGTTACAGAAATGGTGAGACCTATTTCCAACACGCTCAATCTTTCTCCTACATATATTCTCTCTCTCTCTCTCTCTCTCTCTCTCTCTCTCTCTCTCAAATTTCTTGATATCCAACAGGGTAGTAATTTTATAGATTGGGATTATGCGGAAGATTCTAAATTTAGGGTTTATCGTCAGCGTCTGTTCTAAATTCAGATCAAAAGATATAGGACCCGAAAAATTTAGAATCTTTTGTCTAAGTTAGAACAATAAGTTAATTTCTATAGATTATTTGCTTTGTTATTGCCTAATGAACGACGATTTCTAAGAATTTTAATTTTGGTGTATCCTGGGCATCTATCATCCAACACTTTCTGTCGTTTTTCGTTTTGATTCGTTAGAATTTACGCGTCTACTGTCCGTATTTGAGTAGGGAATTTTGTGCTTTTCGTGATTCTGACTGCAACAATGAAAGATTGTATCCGATTGAGCCTTTATGTTTGAATTCACAACTATGTACTTTGATTAGTGTTCGGCGAAGAGTTAACCGCTCGTAGTTGCAAAATATATTTTTTATTGCTTGTAACAATGTTGCACATGCTACCGGTGATGCTTATGTAATATTTGCAACAGGTCACGGCGTTGATAGGAGGAGTTGCTGTGGCTGCTGCTGCTTATGCTGGCAGATATGGCATTCAGGCTTGGCAAGCGTTTAAAGCAAGACCACCTACTGCTAGACTGCGGAAATTCTACGAGGGTGGTTTTCAGTCTACCATGACCAAAAGGGAAGCCGCTCTCATACTTGGAGTGAGGTACCACCTGGCCTCTTTTTGAAATATGTATAAAGCTGTCTTCTGTTTGAGTCATGAAATCTATATTGTGACATATTATATGCTAGAAACGGTGTTTGATGTTCTTTATGGCGATGATGACAAAAATTTCTTTGAAATGTTTCCGTTGCTAATGTTTCCCCAACTATGGGTCTGTTATTGGGGTGTGGAGTTTTTCAAGCAATTGCAGCTCTACTTCCTTACATATCTAGAATGGAATAGATGGATGAGGTTAGGATTATTTGATCATTGGACTGGTTAAGCCGTAAGCAAGTCTGAAGGTGCTTATTTTCTTTTAGAACCCACTATGTAACTAGCAGTTCGTCCCCTAGTTGTAGTTGTGGAAACCGGGTCTTTCTATTTTGTATTGTACCTATTGATATTCCTCGCTTCTTTCAGAACCTTGGGCCTTGCCTCTTTTCATAGTTCAGTTATTTAGAATTGTGAAATTTATTACTTTTTCTTCTTTTCTATAGGCATATATGTGTCAAAATGTTCGTCCTGTTACTGATCCTTTAACCTTTGTGGTGATGGTATACTTGAGCCTTGAGATTAGCTTATTAGCATCCAATGGATTTTAGGTTCTGCTCAAATAGAATTTTGGAAAGCTTGTGGGTGCCTAGCACAAAATTGGTTGTCTGTTCTAGGTCCTTTGATTCTTCACAAGAAATTTCTTTATTGGCGTAAATGACAGGAAGCTTAACTTGTGCCATGTTTCTGACATCCCTCAGAACGTTATCTCTATAATATTATCATGTTTCCTATTATCGTCTTCAATAGCTTAAAGCTATTAGCTATGTTAGTTTTTAGTGAATTTTTCATGTCTTGATATTGAGCTCGGAAGTTCATTGCTCACTTATCACTGTGCTCAGGCCACACAGCGCGCCACTTACGGGTGACGCCCTAGCTTTAGCGCGATTTTGTTCTGGATTCATTTTCATAAGGATTCGACGTGATCATGGAGTGCCGGCTGTCGACTACCTGACGCCCTCCCCCTCCTCCTTTCATCAAATTTCGAACTTGCGTATCTTTAAGCCTGACATGGGCTGAACCAGTTCACACTCGGTCCTGGTCAATTGGAACAAGTCTCGAGCTGTAAAACTGAGACAGTGCAAGCTCTGGGGTGCTGTTTTATGTCTTTTTGCATATATCCGCTAGACCTGATGTACATATATATTCTTTATTTTCTCAGGGAGACTACTCCTACAGACAAGGTCCGGGAAGCTCATCGGAGGGTGATGGTTGCTAACCATCCAGATGCAGGGGGTAGCCACTACCTTGCATCCAAAATTAACGAAGCTAAAGAAATGATGCTTGGAAGAACCAAGGGTACCGGCTCTGCTTTTTGATTGTATTGACTTGTCTCCATTCTTGGCGAAGGTTTCGCATAGTGAGTTTTAGGAGGGTCATCCCTGTTTTGGATCAAAAAATTTCGGTGTATATGAACGAGGCAGTTTCTATAGCAGGGAAATGACACTTGTGTCAATTTTATTTTGTTTTCTAAACAAACCATTTATCATGGAATAAGCTATGGAATCCACTATAAACCCTTCTTAATTGAAAGACTAAACAACCGTATTTCCTTTGGTAATTCTGGGATACTTTCTCGTCTTCTAGCATGTGGTGGGAGAGATACGCTCTCATGGAAGATCAGTGACATTACATGACAAATATTTATTAAACAATTAAGATGGTGGGAGAGATACGCTCTCATGAAAGGGGTGACCAGTGACGTTACATGACAAATATTTATTAAACAATTAAGATAATTTTGAATGTTGGGCAAACATTTAATTGACCAATGATGCGATTACATAACATGCATTTGTTTTCCTTTTGTTTTAAGACAGAACCTCTCTTAAGAGTGAATGCACCCCATAGCCATCAATTAGATTACTGGTACATACAATTATTCTCCTCCTACACCATCCTATCGATATAACCATTTCCCCTGGGAGTCATTTTAAACAGAGGATTTTAAAGTGAATTATGAGATGATTAACACGTCCTTGTTTAATAATGTATGTTGTTTCTATTTTAAAGTATTCAACCCAATGACCAGAAATAAAGAGAGGCATGAGAACTAGCAAATAGGCACCGAAGAAAAATCGATTGTGAGAATCGACAACTGTTGGAAGAGACGAGTGCCACCAAAACACGCATAAAATTGGCTTAAGACACCGGAAACAGTGTGTCCATTACATTCATTCAAGTGGATGTTGTGGCATCGAGTGAGTTCAATTACTCTCATTTGCTGTTGAAAATTACACATTGAGCATGGCATTTGAGCTAATCCTCCAAAACTTTTCAAACTCTTAACTTCACGCTCCACGGAGACGAGGAGCATCCTACGGTTATTCTATGGTATTTACATTAGAATTCTAGGTAATAAGAAGCGATTATCAGAAACGATGTGTAAGTCGCGAGAGAATCAAGCATTCATTGATATCTCTTCTGAGTTGCCTTTCGATGGCGTTGTATCTATATCCACTTTTTCGACTACTGGACCTTGAGGGCTTCCAAAAAGGGTAGTGAACATCTGTCTGTGGCATTCATCACAGAAGTATAAGTACGAGAAGTGGCCTTCATTTGGGAGCTTATGCACGTAAGATCCAGGCAAAACCCGTGCTATATAGTCGGTCACTGATTGTGGGATTACCATATCATCCATCCCCTGTACAATATTCATTAGACATAATGTCATTAACAAAATTCTCAGGCCAAGTCGAATTGTTCATAGTAGTTCTAAGTCCTCACTTATGAATTTCAGCATAAGATATAACTCACGCAAAACCAACGGCATACAAAAGTGAAATGCCACAAGATTCATAGTAGAAACGCCAGAGCAGTGAACATTGGATGGGAAATTAAGTGATACGAGGAAAAAATATATGCACCAACCTGCCATATGTGTATCTGGCCTAGAAATCCAGTCAGCATGCATTCTGCCTCACTGTTCCAGAGCCAAGCAAGAAATCCTCTTCGTTGACACTGTTTCTGTGCCCGAAGATCTGCCAGACTAAAACCCCACCGTGATACTTGTAGGACAGCTTCCTCTATAAAGGGTTTCATACTCCCTTGGCGGATCGACTCCTCTATATCCCTTTGCAAATATTCCTCAATTTTTGGATCTTCAATTAGAACTTCATCCTGCACATAATTATGAAAGTTGACATCTTGCAATGAACATACCTGAACATATGCGAAACGGTCTGGAAGTACAGTTTTGAAAAGTGACTAAAAATACAAAAATTTTACTCTATCCAAGGCAGTCTTATTATCAACACAAAAACATATTGGCATGCATGATCATGCCTAAGGAAAATGAGAAACAGAGAAATCTGTTTAAAGCTGGCACCAACTGCGGGGAAGAAAAAAGTTTGCAACCTTGCAGACTATTTCAAGATAGATGACAATGAGCTCACCTTCTTCCCCAGTGAGAGAGACAACCACTTATCAATTCTGTCGTGTTTTCCTGATAGGAAGCTTCGGCAATAAAAAGAGGAGAGAAATGTTGGAAATCTACGAGCTAAAAAAAACATCACTCTCCTTCGCAGAACCCATGGTTCCCAAGTCTTTTTCATCTCCTCTTTAGTCATGCTCGGTTCATAGGGATTAATTATTGGGGCCACCATGGCTGCACCTGCAAGTTCACACAAGATTCATATCACAAGAAGTTATTCCTGATAAACTCTTTAGAGAAGTGGTGGGAATATAACTTCATCAAAATAAAAATAAAAAAAGTGGTGGGAATATAAGGGTGAGCATAAAATAAGGTTTGGATTAAACATAATTATGTTCAGCATCTACAGAACCCAAATAGAAACTAAACCATGATCATAAATTTTCAGAAACGAGTAATATACCTGCAACTCTGTCAGGAATGTATCTGAGAGAAGCCCAAGCATGCATCGTTCCACTTGAGTGGCCCAGCACCCAGAACTTGTCATCAACACCAATAGCATTTGCTAAGTATAGCATATCCAATGCCGACGAGTTAAGATTCCTGCTGGGATGAGGATCACTCTCCCCAAAACCAGGAAGATCATATGTGACCAAGCGGATACCAAACTCTTCAAGCAATGATATCCTTATTCCTGGTATACCTTTTGAGAAAAAAGAAAAATAAATTGGAAAAAAAAAAAGGGGAATTAAGTCCATTAATCTTCAGCAAGAGCATATATTATGGCTTCCAAGATTCTAACCGTCTAAAATAATTTAGCAGTACAAGTGGTTTATTTACCTGCAAGTCGGGATGAAAGAAAAGAATGTGGAGCAATCAGTAAAAATCGAGTGCTCTTTGCTGGGACTCCTTGTTCTTGATAGGCCAATCGTCTCCCATCTGGAAGTAGTACATGACTAGCACTAGGAGGATGTATTTGTACTTTCTTCACTGATCGGACCAAGCTGTCATTCTTGGTATTGAGATTCATAGCTGCACATGTTTAAAAATGTACACACATCATATCATGCTTCTATCACGAAGGAACACAAATGTATACTGCGATCAAATTCACATTTTGGAGATCCTAGTAAAAAAACTTTCTTAGTTCATAGAAAAACAATGACCAATCTAGAACAACTTTTACAGGACAGTTGTATATTAATGAAATCATAATTCTAATACATACAAAAGGCCAAATAAGAATATTGTAGCCACTCCATCAAGGAATTCAAGTGAAGATCTATACCGCTCCCATATGAACAGTTTGGGACTGATTCAGATAATTTTTTCTTTTATTTACTCATTGCACCAAATCTAGCATCAATCAGCAGACTAATATAGCCAGACTGTGTTAAAGATGAGACCAAAGTTGATCTCCTAAGTGCTAATATCACCACTCATATAGTCACGCCATATCCAGAGGATTTCCAATACATAGCAGCATGGCTCCAGGCTGGACCAGGCACCGCAGAGCACCTTTCTCGTTAACTCCTCATAAGATTTAATGTAATGCAACAGAGCAAAGTTGCATCACCTAGAAACAATTGAGACTTGAGAGCATGCACAGAGGCAAAACTTGCAAGTATGCATCGCGGATTAAAGAAAGAAAAATGGCAACCCTATGATAGCATCACGGACTAAAAAATCGAAGTAAGGTTTCATCCAAAGTTTAATTATGCCATCTTAAGCATCAACTTTCTGCTAACTACACGACGACTACTCTAAATATTATAAAATGTTGCCACACATGATCCATGATCAAGCGAGGATAGACTCGAGCTCAAGAAGAGCTCATCGTTCAACGGTTGAATAAGATGTATCAAAAGAACAAAACTCGAGCCACTAACTCAAAAACATCAGGAGGAAAAATATAACGTGAAAAATGAGAAAGCTTTATCCGAAAAAAGTATGTAGATCAGAAGTGTAGCGCCTCCCTAAACATTCCTTAACATATAAAAAACATTCATCACAAAAGAACACTTAAACAGTAAATTAATAGTCTTCTGGGTAACAATTCCCTTATTTAGTTATCACAATCAATCCAACAAACTTTCAGCATGTAACAAATGCAACACAAAATACCTGTAAGCGCAAGAATGAACACGAACAATATCACCGGCCACGCGTGAGCCGGATCGCGATCCTCCGGCAAAAACTCATTCAAGTATCTCAATTTCGCCCACGCCTTGGCGCAGGGCTTCCGAAGCTTTCGTACAATGTACGAGTCCTCAGTCAGAACGTTCTGCTCCACAATGTCCTTACAGCCTCTTGCCAAATCCACAAGTATTCGCCCCAAGCGATCGCGAATCCCTTAATCTGATCCTTGAAGCTCTCCGATTGCTCCAATTCTCCGCCGGAGGCGAAACCGGCCTCAAACGACGCCGTGGAGACCTCAATAGGATCGGAAGCCGAGAATCTTATCCCCGAGTCACTCACCAGACTCGCCAGCTCGTCCCGCCACGAGCTCGATCCTCTCACCTTCGACATTTCGCTGAAATTTGAAAACACAGTCTACTGAGAGTGAGAGTGAGAGATCAGAATCATCGAGAAGCTTCAATGGAGAGTAAAAGCTATGTGCTTATATATATATATATATATATATATATATAGAGAGAGAGAGAGAGAGAGAGAGAGAGAGAGAGAGAGAGAATTGCAAAGGCAATGATGTCAAAACTGCAACTTTCCAAACGTGAAATTCAAGCTTGATTTGTTTATTCCTAATTTTGCTAAAAAAAAGAAGAAAGCCGAACCGACCACCATTAAAAACGAATCGAAAACCAACACAGAAAAAGTAAAAGAAATTATAAATACTCAATGCATTAAAAAGAAAAAGCCAAAAGCGCCTCTCCACTGCTCACCTCAGCTCAGCGGCGTTTTAGCTTTTGCTTTCCCCAACACTGAAACCGTTGCTTCTCTGAAAATTCTGATCTCAATCATTCAACTTTTTATTGGAATTTGACTTGTTCAGTTCTCGTCCGCCCTTCGCCATAGCTGGTTTTCTGCAAGCACTTATACGGAAAAGCGCTTTTCGGTGCTTGAGGTTGAAGATGAAGAGTCGAAGACGAGAGCCGTCGATGAGGTCCCATTTTGGTGTGAAGCGGGAAATGACGGTTGGGATTTGTCCACGTCATCAGCTGCTACGCCGTGCTTTTAACGGCTGGCGACCGGCTCGAGTGTGTGTGTCCGGCGTGGCTGCGCACACTGTCGACCTGGAATCGGCGGTTTTCAGTGCACATAGAGGGGCCCATGTGACATGGGAAATGTGCTTTTTAATTTTGGCATATTTGTCGATTTGTCCTTTAAATTTGTATTGAGCTGCTAATTTTTTCTTCGAACTTTAAAAGAGTAATTAGTTAAAATTAAAGTTGACAACTGCATACAAGTTTGGTAGCAAATCAACAAATACCTCTTTAATCTTTTATGCTCTGTTCGATCTAAACCGTTAGTTTGGATCAATGTTATGTTTCCTAAACCATTTAGTCTCATCCAACGGTGTTTATCTTGACGAGGTTTCTGAAAGGACGCGAGTATAGAGCTGATAGCCCTTCGTGAATCAAATCATGAAAAATGTATTGTTTGAGTAATTTGCCTAGGGTAATATTGGGAATATAAAATTTTACAAATTAAATGATGTCACATCAATAAAAATGAGCACGTTTAACACTTAAGTAATAATTCAATCATTAACTTTCGTTTTATTTAGTTTATAATTTTTTGTCTACAAATTTAGTTTCATATCATTACCTATTTGCATATAGACCCCTTGGACTTTTAGTGGTGTTTGCTTTTTTTTTTTTTTTACAAACAATAGTATCCACATTAAGGGGTGGGGGAGTGGCCAACCCTAATAATGTGGTTCAAATTTTTCTTTGGCGAGAATCAAATATAAGACCTCTTACTTACAAATAAAGAGGAATACTATCAAACCGTAATACCAAGTGGCAAGGTTTGCATTTGACACTCAAAGAAAAACATTTGAAAACCTACCACCTAGATTTTAATGTTGGTGCTAATGGTCGTGGCCGGCTACAATACTTCACTATATTTAATACAATTATTACTTGATTGCGTTTATTGTTAGTCTCAAGCTATTAGCGAGAATCATTAAGACAAGTGTGTAGGTAACGCGATCAAGTCTTTATATATTATGTATGTATACTAGATACATACTCATGTCAATAAGACCTCAATCATTGCAATAATGTAAATTAGTCTTTAAACTTGAGGCGTTACATTTGTCTTGTAGTTAGGTTCTTAATTTTGGATTATGTTAAAGGAACTCCGATAGGAGAGGGTGTCCACGACATCATTGGGGTTAAAGCTACCTAATCATGGAGGCAAGTGAATGTACAATAAAGAATCTCGAACCTTCACAATTGAAGGAGAATGCTCATCGACAAGATTCAAAAGTCTTCGGCCAGAGCATCATGATTTGGAATGAAGTTCCAAATATATCGAGTTGAATCTTTAGTTGATCACTTAGGCACTTGACATGAAATAGCCTAACCAATGTGATCGAGAGCATTATATTAGAGAATGACCATATTGTATTGTAGTTGCAACGGAATAACTAGATCCTCTTGTAATTAGTACACTGACTAGGGGACCATGACATGCGAATATGCATCTCTCATGATCTATAAGATCTTTAAAGACGAACATTGTTGTCTTTACAAAGAGGTAAATTAAAAGATAAATATTTTGGTCCAGAAAAAGAATTAGTAAAATCTAATTCATTTCACAACCTCATTAATGAGATCCTAAAAGATCGCACATCCTATTCTAGGATTATGGTGATGGGATTAACTAATTAGATTAATTAGTTTAGGAAAATAGCTGTTAATTAAATTATTTAATTAATTATTACGATGGTTATCTCTACTAATTAATAAAACCCTCATTGTCAACCAAAATTCTATGAAATTACCAGTTTAACCCTCTAATTAAAATAGAACATGAATAAGAAATATAGGGTAGAAATGTAATTTAACACAACCAAATTTTGCTGTTTTTTTTTTCAAAGCCTCACCTACATGTAATCCTAACATATCTCTAATTAAAAAAATTAAAAAAAATTTAAAAAAAAAACTTCTCACCCCTACATTCTCTATTACTCTCTTCATCTCTTCTTCTATTTTAAAAATAAAATAAAAAAATTTCTAACATTCTTTGTGTGTGCCCATATGCTAATATGTTTAAAATGAGCCTCGAAATAATTTTTGGGGGTGCCGGCTCCATGGGCCCCAAACCCATTGAGCTTATTTCAAGTTAAGATAATTTAGAGTGAAACTAGTGGCTCAAAATTGCCTAATAAGCATTTTGGACGGAAAATAACATACAAAAAGGTAATAAAGGCAACTTGCTTTTATGTGGTGGTGTGTCGAGAAAGAGTGAAAAGGTTGAAACTTCCACAAGAAGTTTAAGGCCTTCTTTACACATATGCAAGCTTCACATGCATGTGTAAGGGGTTGTCTCTTATTCTTAAAAAGAAAGAGTTGTCTTCCACTAGCACTTCCACCGAAGGGGAAGTGTGCCAGCACCCAGTCAAAAAACTAGGTTGAAGGTCAGTCAATCCACTCCAACCCACCAACTTGCCTGGCACCCAGTCCAAGCCAAGCAACAAACCATCCCATTTTTTACTGACCAAGGGACCAGCCTATTTGGTTGGCACGTGGCATTCACTCACGCATTGGCGCAAGTAGGAGACAAGAAAGTCACCGACGGGGCTCGCTGGCAGGCGCACTCACCATTCAGATCGGACGATCCATGTTTTTTCCCCAACAAAAAAAAAGGGCCCGACAGTCATAATTATGATCATTGGCCACGTGGCAGCTCGTTGGCTGTTGGATTTGAATATTTTTCGGATAGATCTTGAAACCACGAACGCATAAGCGAAATCCGTTTGCGAGTCCGAATTATAACGATATAGTTACGAACGTTTGAAGTTGTGACACTATAAAGTGTAGGAATTATTTAACTCCCACTTTTTGGGTAAGAGGCCAATTAGATATTTGGGTTAAGGGACCAATTAGTTAACAAGATGGAGAGGATTTTAATTTTTCTGGTGGTGGGGTTCTGGGGAAGCACTCTCTGACCTCTTCTCGACTCTTCCACTCATTTGGGGAACTCTCCCAACCCATCCTTCTCTTCCCTTCCTCATACAACAGAGAAGGCCGACAGGGAGTCAAAGCCGCACGAGCGAGTAAACCCAAATCACCAAACTATCATCACCGTAATTCCCATCTCGTCATGAACTTCTTCCTTGTCCCTATTTTTGAAAAATGAAATTGTGATGACGAATCGAGAAGCTCCAACGAGGCCCAACTTTTCCGGCGAGTTTCTACCATTTTCCAGCGAAGCATGTGTGTTTTGGTTGAGGAATGGAGAACAGGATGTCCAGGTGTTGCAAATAGAAGCAACATCCTTGTCTGTTCGATTGACTCTTGTGCAGCGAGATACAAATGGGCGAACTGGAACAATGATTGAAGTTGTGCTTGCAAACAAAGGAACAACGAGGTCATTTGCAAGATGGTGAGCCCATTCTCCTTTCATTTCCTTATCTTTGTAATATGTCCTATTCTTTCCTTATTAATGTATAGACACAATAAAAGGTACATACTTTTATTTTATTGAATTGTTTGTAGTCTTGGTTAAAAAGGTAAGAATTAGGCATGTTATAGGCACACTAACACATTGAAATAGAAGTTAAATATGATTCCTTGATAGTTTGGGAAGTGCTCTGAAATTGTCAATTTGATTAAACGAGTATGGGTTCTAAATTACAGGAAACTTATTCATTTTGCGGAGAGAAACTATGTTTCATGTAGCCTACTTTGGCACTTGATTTCCATGTCCTTGTGAGTTCCTTTTGATCTAATATTATGTGTTTTGGAAATAAACATGTCCATGATCAAAACCCATCTGATTTCACTTAACCGCGTTGAGTCTTGATAGATTAAAGTCATGTCCAAAGTTGAGTCACATGGCTGCTAGGCAGCAACAAGTTCTGTAATTCCAGTTTTGGAACTCCATTTCATAGTTGGAATAACTTACCATTCAGAGTTCCGTTCGCTACCAATATTATATGATTTCAAAGTGCACAAAACAAGCCTCCAAAAACCATTGAAGTTTGTACCATTTGGTTCAGGTTTGAGCTTTCAAAGTGAGCCTAAACTTGGTTGATCGAAGCAGTTTTTATGCAACTTTTGTGGAGAAAAGGAGTGTTTATTTCTACATTATCCAATTCTTCTCCGAGTTTTTCCTTTAAAGTGCTTTTGCTTTGTACTAGTATCGTTATTTGAAGTATATATTATACTAAAATAATGTCTATGTTACGTGGTAAACAAATGGATATATGATATTACTTTGGCTGATGGTTGATTTATTTCAAATGGAAGAAAGGATCAAGGAATAACTACTTCACTTGTGGTCAACCTGTAGCTTGCATATAGGGGTAAACATTTCAAATTTCTTTATTCTTCTAATGACTGAATATAGGTTGTTATATACAGAATTAATATGGTTTATGGTTCAGAAAAGTAGAAAGCCTGAATTAGAGCGAAACCCGATGGCTCCTCCTATTTTTGTTCATTGCTTTATATATATACAACATGATAGGTGATTAGTATAATAGGTATTTACAGTAAGGAGTATATACCTCTTGGTTTTTATGTTTGGAGGTCGAGATACAAAAGGATGTATAAGACATATGGTTATCATTTAATTAATTTCAAAGGATAGCATACTTTTATCTGACTTTTACATTTTCCATGCTACAAAAATTGTACTCGTTCAAATGTAAGGGTGACTAGATATTGGTAGTCAAGAGGAATCGGCAAAATGTATATTTGGATGTGTATTGAACTTGTTGTGAAGTGCATGTTGAATTGTTTGATGAAATGTGATTTGACGTGCATATTTGAAATGTTGTTTGATTCACATGATTGGTATGGTGTGATGAAATATGAGGACTAGAAGTGGACTGTTAACCATTGGGATGGGGATTTGTTCCTTCGATATTGTTTCATTTTCCACTACGTTGATTAGTTCTAAATTTAGTAATTGTGCCTAATTTCCCTTTGTTGAGCTTTTGTAAATTAAGTAACCTGTGCTTGTCTCATTTCTTTGAGCCGTCGTACATTATGGTGTTGGCCTTCCGCGATTCCGTTGAGTGATGGTCCGGAATTGTATACACTCGAATTCTGTTGAGAGATGGTCCAAAATCCTTTCTACTATGCGATTTCGTTGAGTGATGTTTCGGAATCGTATCTAATTTGGGTTTCATTTAGTGGTTGTTATGTATTGTACTCCGCGATTCCGTTAAGTGATGGTCCGGAATCGTATCCACTTGAATTCTGTTGAGAGATGGTCTGGAATCCCTTCTACTCCACGATTTCGTTAAGTGATGTTCTGAAATCGTATCTAATTTGGGTTTCATTTAGTGGTTGTTATGCATTGTACTCTGCGATTCCATTGAGTGATGGTCCGGAATCGTATCCACTCAGATTCTGTTGAGAGATGGTTTGGAATCCCTCCTACTTCGCGATTCCGTTGAGTGATGGTCCGGGATCGTATTCACCTTGGGTTTTATTGAGTTTGGATTGAGATAGCTTTAGAGACGTAGGCTTCGGCCTAACTATGTCGCTCTAGCCTTGCATTTCGATGAGTGGTATGTGATGTTAATGATTATGATGGTTGGCATTATTGTTTGATGTGATTACAGAATGATGTTGATTATGGTTATTGTAATTATGATATGCTTTGTGATATATGGTTGAGGCATAACGATTTATGTGATGAATATTCGATTGTAGTGAAATAGTGAACTACGAATGACTTGATCCCTATTGAGGGTACGTAGGCAGTCTAACAAGAAGGTTAGATGCAGCCATAAAGTAAACGAAAAATTACTTTGCAATTTGATTCTCGAGTTGTAATTTGCCATATCCCGGAGGCGGGTATGTGAGATATACGAGTATTTGATGACGTCACGTGTTGATTCTGGACGTATGTCGGGATTGGGGCGTGACACTTTGAGAGAAAAAAAATGTCTTCGTGGATGCACATTGAAGATGTTATGTTGTGTGAATGTTGGGTTCACACTACTCATGACCCGATTACGGGTAATGAGATGGATAAGCGAGAAATGTGGAGTCAAATTACGAAAGCGTTTTGCGATGTACATGGAAAAGACGCCAGAACTAGTCAAGGTCGTTGGAAAAAACTCAACGCATCCTTTACTTGTTGGAAAAACGCCATCTCTCATGCTTCCGATAATCTGCGTAGTAGGACAAGTTTAGCGGATCAGGTGACAATATTTTTATTTATTTATATGCATTCCACTCACATCAATATTTTAATTTATTTAATTTCTTATGTAATTTATATGCATTCTACCCATATCAATATTTTAATTTATTTATTTGTGTTACACCCGCATTTTTTAATACTATCTTATCCCACATTTTTATAGACACTACAAGCACAACATTCTACAATACAAAGAACCAGAACAAATAATTCAACAAATGGGAATGTTGGCAAATTGTCAAAGATTGCCCCAAATACAAAATTGTGGCAATCGGTCCAGAAGTTGTCATCCACGGCATGAGTCTACACAGTTCGCCAGAAGCAGACACAGCCAAACAAGAAGTTGACATGAAGACACGGAAGGGACGCCTGAACAAGTGCCGGAGACCCAACCGACTCGTCAGTTCCTTAGGCCTCAAGGTAAAAAGGTGTTGATGCACAAAATCGGCGAGGACTTTGGTACAACAGAAAATGTTAAGTTTGTGACCTTCGCTAGATTGCTCCAGTCGCTAGTGTGGATAAGTATGTAAATGGATAGAGACAGGGAAGCAAGCACAAGATGTACGTGGTTCACCCAGATTGGCTACGTCCATGGAGTAAAGGAGTTCTCATTAATTGTGAAGGGTTTACACGAGTACATAGATTCAAGCTCTCTTTTAGTGAGTACTAGTGAATGATTTAGTACAAATGACATTAGGAAATATTGTGGGAGAATGATCTCCTTTTATAAAAGAGAGTTTCTAGCTTTGTTCTGACATTGACACGTGTCGTGTTGTGATTGGCTTCTGATGTTGACATGTGTCACATTATGATTGGCTTTTGATGTCAACACGTGTCGCGCTGTGATTGGCCTCCTGGTTGGAGGGAAACTCTTCTGGGTCCTTGACGGTATAACGTTGATCAGTGCTCGGTAATTTCGGGATTGGTTAAGTATGGTACAAACAAAAGGCATAAAAGAAAAAAGGTAGTTCCTCCAAAACTGACTACACTAAATATATGGAGGAACTTGCTCACCAAGGTGAACTAAACATGGCGTGGGAAAAGGCTAGAAATGAGTAAAAGACTGCTGTTATGGCAGCAATAATAGCAGCTACTGAGGCCCATGATGCGGCGGTTGAGAGACAAAGAGAAATAGTTAATCGAGAGAACGAGATGATTAGAGAAGCACTTCATCAAGAAAATGAGATGCTTACAGAAGAAATGATGGCTCAAGCAGATCGTGACACTATGAACAAGCCTCTAGTAGGACTGTCTCTGAATTCAAAATATTTTTGGACATCGGAAAAAAGAGAGGTTGTGCGAAGGAGACGTGCAAGAGATGCCGAAACAAGTTGAGGGGTTCTAGCTATAGAAATCCTAGCAACAAAGATCCTAACACCATACATCCTAGCTCCACAGACTTTGTATACTTTCGTATTTATTTGTAGTACTTTATTTAATTTGTTATGTAATTTGTTATTTATTTTTAGAACTTTATTTAATTTCTTATGTAATTTCTTATTTATTTTTAGAACTTTATTTAATTTCTTATGTAATTTTTTATTTATTTTTAGAACTTTATGCAATTCAAATTTATTTTTGTACTTTATTTAAACATATCAAATAAGATTACATAAACTCACCAAATAAACTTAAAAAAACACCAAATAAAATTACATAACCTCACCATATAAACTTAAAAAAAACACACTAAATAAGATTACTTAAAAAAACATACACTTCATTCTTCAACCACAAGCCTCATTTTAGTTATCTTCGCCTTCGTGCAATCCTCGCTGGTGCTCAATCAAGTCATTCTGGTGGGTTACGTGCCAGTATGGCTCTTGCAATGAAGTGTATTGCTGAACAATCAATTCATTGTAACGTCCATCCCGTTCCAACGGCTCATGTTGCACGGGATCTTCGGTCCGATCATGAGCACAGTAGATTTGTGTTCTTGAGTTGTTCATCAGATCCGGCTCGTATTCATTGACGGCATCATAATCATATTCATCTTCAACAATCATGTTGTGGAGAATAATACACGTCATCATGATGGATCGAAGAGCCTTGACATCAAACATTCTAGCTGTAGCCCTGACAATCGCCCAACGAGCTTACAGGATACCAAAACAACGCTCGACATCCTTCCTACACCCCTTTTGACATTTTGTGAAGTGTTTTTCTTTTTCACTCTGTGGATGTGGCACTGTTTTGAAACGTTGACCACCTTGGGTAAATGC